TGTGTCTCTGTGTCGTTTGTTTTGTACTATTTTTATAATGTCCATTGTTTGTTCTATTTTGTTGTATGCATGTCCAGTGTTTAATATATGTTTTGCGTATGCTGAATAGTCTTTATTGTGTTTAATTGCTGTTATATGCTCTTTATATCTTTGACTGAAAGTGCGTCCGGTTTGGCCTATATAGGTTAACGGGCAATTATTGCATTTTAACCTATATATGCCTGGTTGTTCATATTGATTTTTTGTGTCTATTTGTGGCTTTTGTTTCAAGATGTTTTTTATTGTGTTTTTTGTTCTAAATGCTATTTTTATGTTATTTGTTTTAAATGTTTTTGTTATATATTTGGTTTCTTTACCTATATATGTGAATGTGGCCCATTTGTTTTGTTTATTTTCGTTTTCGTCTTCATTTATGTTGTTTACATTGTTTATTTTATTTTTGGGTTTTAATTCGTAATTATTATAACCGTTTCTATTAGAATTTGTTTTATTATGTTACATTCAATTTGTTTGTTTATTGTGGTTATGGGATATGTATTTTTTCTGTTTATTAAGTAATTGATAGCCATTTGTTTATGTTCATTTGGATGGCATGATGAGGCATGAATTATGGTGCTTGTACTTGTAGGTTTTCTGTATATTTTGAATTCAAAATTATTTTCATTTCGTATTATAGTTAGATCTAAATAATTTAATTTATTATTTTGTTCTGTTTCTAAAGTAAATTGTATATTTTGATTTATGTTGTTAAATTCATTTAAAACATTTTTTATATTTGTATTTTTTGCATTTTAAAACTACAATGTTCTTCTTCTGCTTGTTAAAAAATTCCCCAAGATGCCCACACAACATTATCTAGAGTAGTATGAAGATTATACGCATTGAAGTGTTTCAAAAATGACTTTCCTGACACAAGGTACTCACAAAAGTAACTTATCAGCAGAATGAAAGCAAAAATTTAGTTTCAGCTACCATAAACACCTATTACTTATTCAATAGCTGCTTGAAACTAGGTGATATGATATGAAATGAATCAATACATAACTAAAACTCACCCGCAGAAGAATCGCTTTCAATGTTATGTACTGAGACGGTTTCAAATTCAAAGAAGAACACAACTAGAACAAAAGAAAGACGACGCACAATATGTTATTCCTTGAAAATATTTGTTTATACAGCACTGAATTTATTCGTATGAACCAAAGTTAAAATCCAGCTAACAGTTCTGTAGTATGGGAGTTTAAATCCCCTGTTCATGTATCATAAGGTTCATTTGTACCTATCTGCAAATGCAAATGATCCACTGTAGTCCTTTATACAGTGAATACATTATATATTGTGGAAAAAGCAAGAGGCTACGCAATTATTTCAAGAGAGTGAACTAAAATAAGCATATCCATGTGAACACAGTAACTAAGTACAGATGTAGGATTTGAGGTTATCACAATGGTGAGTATGAAAATGGCTGTCTTCTGGGTTGTAGCTCCATGTAGTCTGGTCCTCGATGCCTCCGCCATCACAGCGATCAGTGCCCTGATGACAGAGGTAGCAAGGCCCTCTGAAATATTGGTAAACTACCAGACTACACCCCAAACACAGCCATCTAAATATATAATTACTTAAGTGAACTACATGCAGCAAAGTCCTTGATGAGTGACAGCCCCTCTGCTAGTCAAGAAATTCCTCCACCTTCTATGAAAGGTTTATTACCTGTTCATAAAAAGTGCCACTGGTTTCTATCCTCAATCACATGCTGCCACCCTAATTTGATAGGATCAATTTTAATCATATCCTCCCACATATGACCATGGGTAGCCAGGGAAACTCAGTCAGTACAGTGACCGACTATGGACTGGAAGACTGGGATTTGACGCTCGACAGAAGCAGAGGATTTTTCCTCTAGCCTCAGACCAGCTGTGAGGTTCACCCAGATTCCTGTCCAATGGGTACCGGGGCCCTTTCCCCAGGGGTAAAGTGCAGCTTGGACATGACGCTGACCGCTCACGCACATCTAGCGCCAATGTTAAGAATGAATAGGAGCTATACCACCTCTCCCCAAGTACCTATATGTTGTGTAGCCTGCCCAAAATATGGGATGACAGCGATTTGTACGACACAACTTTCCCATCACCACGTACAAGTACACATTCGACTGTTCAGGCCTAGGGGTAAGAACTGTGAAGGCTCACCTTAATCTCACACGTTGATAGAAGGTGGTATCCCGGGAGGGTGGAGATATCTGGGCGGTTTGCCTCCCCACCAGACTCCACCCCTTCCCTACTATTATCGAGGCTGTGCTGCTTCCCGCTTCTGCACGCTGATCTTCCGTCGCTGAAGGATGAGCCGGGATCGTTTCTTTCTCTAAGAAATCATTGGAATTTTGTCAGTCTTGTAGGTGGTACCAACATTCCTCCTAAATGTGTTCTTCGGAGAAATATTTGTAACGGCCTACAAGACTACTTAGCATCACAACACAGAAGAGTGGAAATGAAAGGAAACAACAAGCTGTTACACAAGCAACAGACCTTTCATTAAACTACAATTGTCACTTGTTATTAATAAGAATTCTTCTTCTTTATTACGCCATCTCCTTTTACAGGAGGTTGGCGACATATTATGAACATCATCCTTCCATCCTTTTCTCGGACTGGGACCTGTTCACATGTTTTTTAGGCAGGTGATACAGAAGTGGTTTGCCATTGTCTTCTTCTGTGTGGAGTAATTGCTGGGATGCCACGGGGAAACCAGGGAAGCCCCAGAGGAAAACTCCGTGTTGCCTAAACCACGGCCTTGCCCAACACAAGTTATAAATCTGGGCACGGCCAGGAATCGAACCCGAGACCCCAGGATTACAAGGCCAGCGTTCTAACCGCTAGACCACTGTGGCAGTATTAATAAGTATTTAATGACAGGAAGACCTAAGTTAACAATTTAGTGGTAAGCTAGTGTGCTGCGATTAAAGTTGGTCTCCACATAAGCAAAGGTTAATATATTTCTTCTGATAAAATTTATCTTTCATGGTCACCCAACTACGATGGCAGCGTCTTTCATGACAGAACTATAACTTTCTTGTACGCATGTTTAGTTTCTTTGTAAATGTACAATTTTTTATATCTCACTACTTTTAGAATTACTCAATGTCCAAACTGACGAAACACAATAGAATTGTTTTGAATTTTCTCATGACCTGAACAATTAAACACAGAACTTCATGGGAGCATTAGTGTTTGTGGATTTATGCAGAAATATTGTAATTAAAAAAATTAACTCACCTTCTTCTTGGGACCATTGATGGAGGTGAGGGGATGGACCCACTGCTGCCCTAAGTGAAAGGCAAACTGATACAATCTGATTACTTTGTTTACATAAATTAAACACATTAAACATATTATTTTCAGTCATGTGACAAAATCAATATGATAAAACTTTGTTAATCCAAAAAAACTAAACAAAATACGGCTCCAGATTAGAGATTAGACCGACACCTGGGGATTCTACAAAAGAATGTTTCACATTGAAATCAAAGTACATCTCAGGCCACATATTTTCATTTATAATGAAAACAAGACTTACAGATCTCTTTTCCTTCCACTCTTCGTGCTGAACCCGTTCTTGTTCGAAGTGTGCGCATTCTTCGTGTCTTGTCAGTCCATTTCGTCGATACCTCGCCAGTTCACTTATCCTTATCTTGAGCTCTCTCTCTTTCTGCAGATTCTGGAGAAACTGTTCATGTTCCTGAGCAGTGTGGAATTGTGTGAACACTCTCATGTGGTCATGGAACTCCCTATAATACAAAATTAAAAATTAAATCTTCTTAACTGCCTTACAAAATAAACCACTTCGTAGTGGTTCAAGATGATGAAAAGGGTAACCTCCAATGACAGAATGTCCATACCACATTTCATTCAAATTTGTCCAGCATTTTCCAAGGTACATAATGCAGACAGACACTTCACAGATATCATACAAAGAACATGTAATTATCATGAGTGATGTCAACGTAAACGAATAGAAATGGAATTGTTACGTCAGATAGTCTTTGAAAAAATGGTATTTTATACTTTATTCTTAATGTCAGTATGACTAAGAGCACATATCAATAAACAGCTGACATATGGGGAGAACTAGAACAGCAGCAGAAGGCAAAACAAAATTTGGTTTAGGGGACCATTTCACCTCACTTGTTTCATTCCTTTCTAAAAATCAGATATCAAAACCAAAATGTGTGCACTGTATATGCAGAAAAAATTAGGCAGTCACGTAGCCTTCATATGTAAACACAATCCACTGCGCAGGTTCCATCATACCCCGAGAGTGCAACTGAGGTAAGGACAAAAACGGCCATCCGTTAGCATTTGGCGACACAACTGCAATAAACTTACTTCTCTTCTTTGGACAATTTCTTCCTTGACGAAGGCCTGTCCTTACGGTTGGCCGAGAAAAACTGTGACACTAATTGGAAGTCTCGTGATACCCGTTTCCGCCTAGCCCTCTCTCGTAGTCTTCGAGTGTACATGTCGACCTGGGCCAATTTGAGAGCTTGACATGTGGAAATAAACAAGAATAACAGTGTAGTTTATTCAGTGTCAAATTCTAAAATAGTGTTACACAACTTCAATGAGGTAAAATAATAAAATTAATCAAAACTTGCATGTCAAAGAAAGCACTAAATTTTGTGGTTGTACACTGTAATCTCAAACAGTATGAATATTTCAGAGTGTTTGTCACATATAAGTACAACTGATCTTTGATAAACATCTATTCGTGCATCACAATTTTGACTATACAATCACTGCGACCATATCTGCATAACAATGTTCTGGTGCCAGACTCAATGAAGCGCTTCAAGCTGAACAATGGCATCAAGAGACTTTCTACAAGCCAATTACTACTGCTCCAACAACTCCATCTTCTGAGGCAAATCTTAGTACATCTCACTTTGGGACAATTAAACCTTTAAAGAAAACAAAAACACTTTACTATTACAATGATAAACTGGCAAATGCTGTTAGAAGGAAATAATCAGTTTACATTGAGAAACATACAAAACCCATAAATACAATAGTAGTTAAAGCAACTGGTTCATACAGTTAGTTACCACCGACTGCAAATGAAAACATGTATGTAAATTCTTTCCAGGAATATGACCCCAGCATTTGGTAATAACTGAAATAACCGACTCTACTGGAATCTGGTTATCATCTATCTTCACCTAACCGAAGAAGAAAGACATTTCATATTTTCACATACTTGGATACTTGGACGACCCGTTCAAGTGCCTGAGCACTGCGGGTCCCAACTTTTCGTTGGCTTGCTCTATAGACATTCGGTAGGACTCCTTGGACGAGGGATCGGCCCGTCGCACAGGACAGGACAGCACAACAAAGAAAAATACGGACAAACATCCATGGCTTGAGTGGGATTCGAACCCATGGTCCCAGCAACCAAGCGGCACAAGGCCACGCCTCAGACCGCGTGGCCACTGCGGATCCCAGATTTTCACATTATCTTATAAATTGATACTGCATTACAGTAGACGAAATAGCCAATTAGTCAGAACCATTGTCTGTCTTAGAGCTATTTCTCTGTTAAGTATTTTTCCATTTCTCATCTTGATTCTTTATATGTAACATATAATGGTAATTATCTGCAAACATTCAAGACTTCAAGTGACGAGCACCAAAATTAATTATGAAAGCCAAATTAAACAAATTACAATGACACTCACCGACATCATAGTCTTCATCTTCTAAACTGTTCACAAATAATGAAGAAACTAAGGCTTCTGCTCCATTGTCATATTCCTGAAAAATATTAAGGTTCATCACCCTAGAGAAATATGACTCGTATGCAGAGAAGAAACATTTTCCATTCATGTTATTCAATGGAAACATTTTCTCAAGTGTGCAGCAAGAGAGAGAGTGCCAATGCGTGGAGTGGAGGAGAGATGGCACTAGCATGGAGCATGTCACATTGGATGTACTTAATTTAAAAATGTCAGATAACTAAATTTTTTAAAAACACTTAAATTACCCTTTCAAAGTCATCTCTATGAGGCATGTAACCAAGTAATGCAGCCTCATCAGGGGTAACATCTAAAGGTGGAAGTCTGGCTGTGAGTGCAGGTGATAGTGGACCACAATCAGGATTAGTTTTGTCACTCAGACTTGGTCTTGAGTCGGCAGCTCCAGGCCATGTAAAACGACCAATACTACCACCTATGTATCTTGAAATGTATTCTTCCTTGGCCTCTGCAAAGATAAGCCATAACATGTTCAACAAATGTAGTAATTTGTGGATAAAAATTGGCTGTTTTCATCTGAATACAGAATGATAATTTCAACTGTGACAGGTAGAAATGTCACAAGTCAACTGTTGTCTTGTGGGCTGTGACTTTGTGTAGTCTTGTAATTGGTTATCAATGCTTCACTGACATATCAGACCACAATCTCATGAACACCATTATCACCAGCACACAATTTAAAGTTTATACCTACAGAGTTTTCCTATGCAAATTTATAACTTCTATGTCTCCACAAACTCCCAAAATATACTTCACTGTATTTTCATCCATACTCAACATTTATCCTTCCATGAAAGCCAAACTGTAGTGGTGATTGCAGCTCCATATTATATCCTTTTACTTATATAATTTAAGGATACCAACATGAAGCATATTTAATAAAACACTAGATGCAGAAATAATTTATTACCTTCTGGAGAACGGGTTTCTATATGTCTGCTAATGTCCTCCCAGTTGCCAAAACCAAACTGTTCAATTGCATCAAGAAGATGCAATTCTTCTCGAGCAGACCAACCACCATTACCCAAGCACATGCCAATGGCACCTGAATCCTACAAAAAAGTGTGTACATATAATATGGCACTTATCGTCTGTTTCTATTGGATACTAGCAAATATAGCTCTGTGTTTGGTCACTATTAACCATGATGAATTCAGAGATTCTGATTCATAATCACAACCCTACAAACTTACCATGAACTGGTATGCATGATCATTTTTGTGTGGCCCTATTTCAGCACCTGCTGAGAAGCACTGAAACAAATACAGAATGTATTAATATTCATAAATCACACAATAAGATAATATAAATATTACACTATAAGTAGCCATACTTTTTCAAATATAACGTTTCAAATGCACTGGAACCAAATTCTGGATTGGAAAAAATTTCCTTAATTGAATTCTTTTATTTCCTGCGTAAAATCACAGCATAAAACATTAAAAATATGACAATTATGTAGCCAGTGTTGCCATCTGAACAGTGAAACTGTAATCTTGTGAATACACATAATGAAATACCAATTTCAAATAAATCTATAGTGTATTGCCTACCACTCTTGGGAACTAAGATTGGTCTTAATTCAAAGAACTCAGGTGTCCAATGATTTAATTTAGCCCTCTACAGTGGACAAACCTAAGTAGGCACTGCAACTGAAAAACTGTATCTGATAATGAAATACATTATGTTAAAAAACAGTGACAATTTGTAAATACTGCAGGTTTCACCAACAAAAATTGGCAAAACTGTAATAGCTTTTTGCATATGATATGCAGCTACAAAGATTACGCAGTGTTTTGTGACCATTTTTCTCATGTATTTGAATTACGATATGCCGCAGACCTCAAGCTTTCCAACATACCACAGCACCACCAACAACACACGAAAACAATTTTGAGGTCTGCGCCCCAATCTCCAAGCCCGCTGCGAGCATGGCACCAATGACGTAGACTCAGTTTCGTCAGTCATTGGCCTACCTGTAGACATAGGTCGAAATCTGCACACACTGCACATTTAATCCTCAGTCCTGTAATATCGTCCTGGCAATAAGTACAATTGTATTTTGCAAATAAATCTGAAATGCAAGAACAAGTATATATCACTTTTCCTTATCTGCAAATACATATATTAATTCTAATTTAACGTACATTTCTGACCACAACACATACCCGCCATGTCATAGTATTTGTGACGTCACAGCCAAAGCCCAGTAAACGAAAATGCGTGATCACGAACAACACAGTGGAATATAACTTTCTAGAATGTTATCATTATGTAATGTAGGTACCAATTTCAATTTTTGTGCAAACTGACGTCTATACGACATTGTTTAAGCATTATTAGACACAAAGTTAGCCATGTTATGTCTAATCGAATATAATCAACTGGCATAACACAACGTACGTAACTTTATTGCTCTGCACTTCAACGCACTCTATTGACGCAATTTCTAAATTGACTGAAAATATATGATTGTTTGAGATGATATTAAAACATGTTAGTTAATAAAAATAACAGTAAATTACATGACTTTTAGGTGATTTCATACACAACAGAAAGCAAGCAGTGGTTATATAGCACTATCACTACTACGCTGTTAACGTTGGCAGCACTGCTTGATTCACTGAAATGAAGGAACGCCAATTCCAACCCACAAAACATTTCAAGACGTAACATCATTTGCGAAATTTCATCACTTGTATAAAGAACGATTCTGACAGCAGCGAAGTAGCGGGTCACAGACAATTACCGTAACTTAGGGCAGAGGATATGAACATACGCTGGTTGGTTCGAGATATCGCATACTTCATTTCATGTGTGTACGGACGGAAACCTAAAAGTGAATTTTAGGACAAACACAAACTTCATTTTGTTTAAACTGCAACTATCGCATAACAGCAGAGATAACTGTACACATCAATCACATGAAAGAATCGCAGTCAATCGCGGGACCAACGAATTGCCGATTGTAAGTGTATAAAATATATTTTTTAAATTCCCTTTATCTTATTTACCTTATTTCAGAGCTTTAAATGTAATCCCATTATATTACTCGTCATTTATTTACATTATAAAATAGTTAACCCTTTGAAGCCGAAGATCGTCTGAATATTATTTATGAATTCAGCTGGTTAACCAGCTGATTTTCGTAATGGTGAGGTGTAGTGTTTTCTTCGCGGTACGGACTGAATTCATAAATAATATTCAGACGATCTTCGGCTTCAAAGGGTTAAGAGTGGCAGAAACTTTTTTATACCATAGCTTCTGGTTTACATAAAAATTGTAGTAATAAAATCAGATTGCCTAATTCAAGTAAACTGCTACATAAACAGACAGAGGTAATTCTGTTTCTTCATAGGTATGTATTCCAGACCTTATTGCCTTAAATTTACTGCTGTTGGTATCATTTCTCTGACTGTTTTTACACACACTTAAGATACTGTATTGTATTTTAAGAAATAATTCAAAACTTTATTTCAGGGGTGTATATCCATCCGAACTGCACAGATAATCCATTCTTTGCCAATTGCCGCCTCATTGTGGCTGGGCAATATTGTACACATAAATACTATGCCCGCTTTTGTTGCAAATCTTGTACACAGGCTGGACAACTTCCATCCTATGGCCCTCATCTGGAGAAATCAGGTACAGGCATAAGTAAGAGGAAACGACACTCACCGCTAGTCACACCCACTGTTGAGTGGCGCAATACTCATTATATTAAAACTGACTGTTAAGGCAGTGTTAGGTGTTCCTGCTGCATTTACATCATTTTCTTCAAATGCATTATTAAAATAACAGTAACCTCATTATGGCTGGGCAATATTGTACACATAAGTACTATGCCCGCTTTTGTAGCAAATCTTGTACACAGGCTGGACAACTTCCATCCTATGGCCCTCATCTGGAGAAATCAGGTACAGGCATAAGTAAGAGGAAACGACACTCACCGCTAGTCACACCCACTGTTGAGTGGCGCAATACTCATTATATTAAAACTGACTGTTAAGGCAGTGTTAGGTGTTCCTGCTGCATTTACATCATTTTCTTCAAATGCATTATTAAAATAACAGTAAATCTCATTCCATATGTAAATTAAGAACAACAGTAACTGATAAGTAAATTTTACTGGCATAAAAATGACTAAAATCCTCTTTTCTTTGAACTCTGTTTTGTATTGTAATTTATAAGACTTGTGGCCTGTATACTGATTGTATTAGCTCAAAATCATAGCAAGAATCCTTTTTACTCTGAAGTCAATTTTGTGTTTTAATTTATATGACATGTGAACTGTACCAAGTTATACTAATTTTATCTAGGTCTCGATGTACAGCGGCAAACCACCAGTTAAACAGCCATCCAAATAATACTATTTATATGATGTTTGATGTTACTAATCTGTGGACACACACAGTCCTTAAAATGAAATGTCTTGTATGATGAGGTATTCCAGTTAAGTGCCTTAATAACTGTGTTATATTAAAGATGCTGATTACGGACAACGGTGCCCAAGATGCATAACTAGTATTGTATAATTTAATAAGTAATGTTAAATAGTGTAAATTGTATGTTGCTTTGTATAGATTCATTTTGAATACATCTCTTAAGTAAGGATTCATATTTATTTCTCGATTTTCAGCATATTTTGCAGGGATACCATTGAAGTAAAACATTTTGGAAGACAGTTGAAACAATTTCAAACTAACATCAGATTTTTAATAGAACAAGGAACAAAAGGCCAAGAAGTATGCCTTCATACCATCATACCATCATGTATCATAATCAGTCAAAGACTTTCCATTAACAAACTTCTTAAGTCTATACTATGTTATAGTAATTTTTAGTGAAAACTTTCTGATACCTTAATCATAGTATGCACTTGTAATTTTGCGTGTGAATGTTTCAGTTTAGAGATTCAGCCAATGGTGATGCTCACAGAACTCCACTGCCACTTGTTTATTTCTGTAAGGCACTTTAAGTGTCAGAAATTCTATGTAATTTTGTTGTGTACATTATTTAGAAATTAAATTGTGCTTAATAATGAGGGTGAGATACAAGTGATGTCATTGACGTGCCTTTTCTTTTTTCATGAAACTGAGATTTTAATGTGAAAACAATGTATGTTAATTTGCAAGTGGAACATGATATCTACTTCCACAGTATTTTGCTATTAGTAATGTGTACATACATAAAATATAAATAAATACTTTATTATATAGTTATTAATTGTTATTCATAAGAGTCCCTCTCCATTGACAGTATTCATAATTTTTTAGGTTTTCAGATATACTTCATACATGATAATCAATAAGAATGAAGTAAAAGTTTAGATACTTTTTTCTCATTGTTGTTAATGCTAACACCACATCTTTGTTTCAGATAATGGCTTTGTAATAACTCAAGTTATAGCCTGATAGATGAAAAAATTGTAATTTTTGTATTTATATTCTCTTTTGTTCTCTTAGATGGTGAATTTGTAACTGCTATTGGTATGATAACCTTTGCTAAGATGATACTGAGTTGTGTGAATGTTGGAATTTGGGAAAAAGTGATTGGAGTAAAATACAGTTTGACAGTTGTTTTTCTTAATTCTGTTTCAACATGTGTAAGATGCTAAGAGCTGGCCATAGTAGTGTCTTGCTGGTCAGTTGTAGTTAGTCTGTTTCAGAGGTCCTTGCTGCCTCCTAAATTCTGGAAATGCTTGCTACTTCTTAGTTTAAAATATTTTGTTTCCCCGCCTGATTTATATAAGAACATACAGATTAAAATACAGTACATTCCGGTCAATTGGTCCATCTGTTAATCGGGGCGGTCTCACTCTGAAGGAGGAACATAGATTGCAGGTGTTAAGGAGAATATTTGGGCCTAGGAGAGAAGAGGATGGGGTATGGAGAAAACTGCATAATGATGAGTTTAAAAATTTATACTACTTCCCCAATATTGTACGGGTGATTAAGTCAAGAAGAACCAGATGGGTGGGGCATGTGGCGCTCGTGGTTGGGGCAAGAGGGGTGCACTGGGTATTGGTCAGGAAGCCTGGGGGGAAGAGACTGATGGGGTGACCTAAATGTAGATGAGAGAATAATATCAAGCGGGATCTATGGGAGATAGGAGTTGAAGGCGACTGAATTTTGTTGGCCCAGTACAAGGACTGGTAGAGGGCTTTGGTTAATTCGGTGATGAACTTTCAGGTTCTGTAAGCCATGTAGTTGATTAGTTAGTTATAAATCTTGTCTTGTATTTTATAGTCTGAAACAGAATTTTGTTACCTTGAATTTCGCTGAATATTTTCAACATCAGAACATGTTTAAAATCAATGTTGTGAACCATAATAAGATACATATTTGGCTGCTATGTACATATTTTATGATGAGACGTTTCTGATACTGATACAGTTCGATTTGAGTTTCACGTAAAGTTAAGAATTGGACCGACAAGGGCAAAAATTAATTTCGTATAACAACTTTTAATGTTGAACACCAACACAAAATTTCGTAAAAATCCGTTACGAAGTTTCGGAAGTGAAACATGAACAGACAGGCAGACACTGCCTACCAATTTATGCAACGCGAAAGTTTTATATTCACTAACCATCTACGAGACCATTGACAATGGTTCTAAAAGCTGTTACAGCCGACAATTGCACAAATTTCGTAAGTATAAACTATCGGTTATAATGGAACACGAAGGTTCATCACAACACATGGGAATGGCAAGTTAAACGGACAACGATCACATCCTCCAAATACATTTTTGATTCATCTCGATTTGAATTACAGGCATACGTAGTTTTATTGCGCTTCGCAGATATTGCGGTTTTTTCTTTTTACAAATTTAAGGTTTGTGGCAACCCTGCGTCGAGCAAGTCTATCGGCGCCATTTTTCCAACAGCATGTGCTCCATGTGTCTGTGTCACATTTTTTTAGCAATAAAGTATTTTTTTAATTAAGGTATTACATTGTTCTTTAAACATAATGCTATTGCACACTTAATAGACTATAGTATAGTGTAAACAACTTTTATATGCACTGGGAAACCAAAATATTCGTGTGCGTCGTTTTATTGTAATATCTCCGAAGTATGCCTGTATTGTACTATCTCTCGTCCGGCTCTGCAGCTAATAAACTGCAAAATAAATATAATGTGTATGTGTCATGGTGATTAGGATTGTTTATACGGAGTAATCCACAGCTGCAAGCGGCTACTGCAGACTTTATGCAGCAGGTACCGACAGGGACGTATGTAACGGGGAGGCGTATCTTATGCACCCAATTAGCATCCAGACGTGCGTCACAACTTTCTTATAACTTAAAGAGTCTGTCACTAGATGGCACTAAGACAGGCTTTGTCGTCGTCTCTGTAAAGCGGGGAAACTACGTACTAGGCGCACGGTAATATAGCTTTTATTGATTACGGGGACATGCATGGGGAGTAAAAGTATGTTGGAATGGATTCTACCTCTCTCGTTCGCTCTCTTGGTAGCAGTAATCAATAGGAGGGGTTAGGGGAAGAGAGTGCATGATAGGGCCACGAATATATCAAATGCTGACCGTCATAAGAACACTGTTTTGGTTTCCCTGACTGCTACGATTGGTGCTGTATTGCAATGACAGTCTGGGTTATGATGGTGTGTGCAGTGTGTGGCCGGTTGTATCTTCCAGGGGTAGCAAGGTGCGTGTAGAGCTGAGCTGCCTATCTAGTAGCACATTGAGATGCGGGGTGAAGGCGCTGCTGAAACTAGTGAGAAAGCCGGGGGTAGTGGGAAAAAGACGGTGGTTAGAGAGTGAGTGCTAGTAGGAGGGAAGGGGGAGGGGGACGTTGCCATGGCAATGACGTCACTGGTGTTCCAGTCGCCGTCGGTTGCCCCTCATTGCAACATGGCGGCTTGCTGTTGCTGTTACGTGTGTGTGCTAGTGGTGAATAGTAGTGTGTCGTCTGCTTCAAGTCGTGCTCTGGTGGTATCACGATGTACGCGGCGTCGCGTGTGTGTCCGTGCGTCGTTACCCACTGAACAAGGAGCTGCATTTCCCCACTACAACGTAAATCACCGCCTGTATTTTTACCATCCAAAGCAGCAGTACCGATCTGCGAAAATGTGATTTCCACAGTAATTTTAGTTGTTGGTGTTGTTTCGTAATAAAACAAGAAAAATCAAACAAGTTGAAGAAGAAGACTGCCTTAAAAAGGATTAACTCTCTGGTGATTTCTGCAGTTATTTTGTTACTGAAACTACGAGACATCTGATCATGTCCCTGCTCAGCGTGACAGGTAGGACAACTTAAACGCATATTCAGTCAAATTAGTATGTGTGCTATATTTCTTGAAGGTGCCAATTTGACAAGAAAAGTTCATTTCTTATTTCTGTTGAAAGAAACAGACTGCGGCAAATGATCTTGAGTAACGCTGGAATAGTTACGCAAGATTTCACCTGCTGTGTTTACTTGGCTTGTGATTTATAATATGTTTTGGAAAGAGGAGTCTAATTTAAGAGGGAGAAACCGTGGCAGTTGCCATGGGGCTTTCACAAAACAGGCCTCCATAAAATTCCATTTTGTACTGCGAAG